CCCCAATATTCGCTAGATAGACGACATGCATATCGATTGATTTATTGGCTTCATCCTCAGAATTTCGCTGAGACGGATCGGCTCAGTCTCTGCCTTGGATCATGCCATGCCTCAGTCGGTCGTGAGAAATTATGACGAATGGGTCGCCGAGTAGAGGAATCGATGAGATGCCGCCGACCGGACATCTGAACCTGTTTTCACTACTATTCTATCGAATTCCATGCTTGCCCTAAGTCCGTTTGGCCATGATTTGACTCGGCTTCCGCAACAGCAAGTGACCGAATGCACAATTTCCCCGAAAATCCGAGGCGGTCCCCCATCGGAAATCGACGGGAGCTCGAAAATGCCGTGAACTATCAGCCAGGATGCGAGATTCGAAGCCCACTCATGATTATTTCATTTATCGGACGAAATTGGATCAACGACCGATATTGGGTACCTGCGTGGGGCCCTCGAGTCGACCGGCAGCCGTGACGTGCCGGGCCGCCAAGGAGATCTCTCGATGTACGGACGGGACGCGAGGAGGCATCCTTGTAATTCTCTTCAATCTTGGCTTGACACTGAGGCGCAGTCTCGAATATTGTCAAGGTTGGATCACCTCCAGACTCGGCATTTCAGAGATGATATCAGATCGTCCAGCGAAATCTCGGGAGGGCATGAGCGGAAAATCGTCAAGTGCTCTGAATTACCGAGCTGCAGTTCAGGCTTCCCTGATTGGCTCTTACTACTCTGAGCAGGGAGGGAAGCTCGGTCCAAGATCTATTCTCACCCGGTAGACGTCGATCGGTCCGTGAATTGAATTACTCGGATTCCACAGATTCGCCATCGCACTCCGCTCCGGCGACCAAGAAAGAAACATGAGACTCTTCGTAAGTAGATGACTCGATAGAAATCTAAATCTGACCGCCTTCGAAGGCACCATCCTGTGCCATTGGTTTGCTGAGTGTCTTCTTTTTCGCACGAAAAGAGGGAACTTCTTCCGGATTCGCTCTTGTCTGCCGCTCGAGATGCAGGAAGATGGGGCCTCGGGCTTCGAGAAGATTTACATATCCTCTCCATTCTCTTCTATTCCAGGGTTTTTCATCGCGTTCATGTCATTCACCCTCGCTGAATCTTTCTCGACGGTGATGTCGAGTCGCGTCGTTTACGGACGGCCCATGGTATTCAGTGCGGGCACTCCATCCATGTCGGCGGTCTCTACATCACATTCGGGACGACTCACACGCAATGGTCGACGTCACGGGTCTATAGGGAATTCGATGTCAAATAGCGGGAGCTTCGGGTACGTTTCCGGAGGTACCACGATAATCAGTCGAGGACACTGAGCTTAACGTCTTGATATCCTTGGATAAAGTCGAATAAAGTCCCAAATTGACTTCGTATCTCAATTAATAGCTTTCGCTGTGACTCGGAGTAGATTCGGCTCAGAGGCAGCTCCAGAATTTTCCGAGGAGGAAAGTTCAATGTATTTACGAGGGGTCAGAGTCTGCGCGCCGCGTCAACGTGGGGAAGAGCCGGACGTAAACAAATTATAGGACGGGCGATCGCCCGACCGCTCCCCCTGAGTCGCCACTGCTTCGACCCCGACGGTTTGCCAGCGGGGGGCTTCGAGGATCTGCAGTCCTCATTCGAAAACACAAGCTCGGCGCATACATACGACTTTTTTCAGCTAATCCTATCCTGGGCTTCGAACCAATGCCTGGGTTCTTGAACGAGGCCGAGGTCCGAACTGACGTTGGATGACTCCACGACTTCAGCAAGTGACCGGAAGTACCTGGACACTGAAAATGTGATATCCGAAGAACAGCGGTCTCGTTTTTGTATGAATATTCGAAAAACGATACAATACCGATGGCTCGCGATCGTGTTCCTCCGCCGGGGAAGGCTGCTCACGTTTGTGACTTGCTGACCGAGAGAAAGCGGACATCAAAGGCACGATTTGCCGAACTCGAAATTTTCGAAACGCGATTGAATAATCTGGGAATCCAGAGGCGCTCTTCCGTGGATCGAAAAATATCTCTCGACCCCGCCGACTTCCGAACTTTGGAGGAATGAATCGTCACGTTTCGACATTCAGATGCGTCGCTCCCCGTCTCTAGAAATCCCGAAGGGAAATAAGCTCAGGTTGGTTCCGAGATCTTCGGCTGGAATCCCCCTCCGCTCGAGCCGTGCGCCACAAGAGACCGTCCCGTGGGGACCATCTGTGATACATGACTGCAAAGCCAGAAGCTTGTATGTACTTCGATTATGCGGTACGCATATGATCCGCTTGGCATTTTCAAGAATTCTATTCTCCCCGCGACCCTCTATCTTGTCGTTTCGTCTTCACCAAGGTGAAATGCCGACTCATCTCAGAGAGGCTTACAATCATGTCAAATGCTAGACAGCGGAACGCACCGCGAGACGACTGCTATGGTAGAGCTTGCGAAGCCTATCCGATTATCTGTATCCAATGGGTGATCAATCCAGACAGTGGTACGGAGGATCATTCGAAACAAACACTCTGCTCCAGAGATCCCACTCTGATCCTTTTCGACCCCTGTAAGGAATGGCGTACAGATCACGTGTCGGGATTGGAAAAGTTCGTGATAAATAAAGTGCTGCAGAACCGCCCACCGAATGTGAAGAGTGCAGCTCCGATCCGCTGATCTGGTCAAATCGATTCGAATCGTATAGGAGTTTCTCCTTTCAGGAGCATTGTTCTGCTCATTTCCGAGTCTCTCTTCGAGCTTCTCGGTTGATTACGATCCGTGAGAAGCACTCATACTACATGACAGATCACCTGACCACGCGAAGGAATCCTCTAACGTAATCAATGGCAGGATCCACTGGCTGCAAAATACTGCTATGCGTTAGTGATTTCGCAAGATATCCTGCAACATAGAATCACGAGGTTATCGATATATTCCTCGAACTCTACGGATTTTCAAATCTTTTCGACACATCGCAGATTCTCGTCGGTGCTCTCGCGCCCTGCGACGCCGTTGTGACGGAGGATCACTCGTCGGAGGATTCGTTGATTGCTTCCACGGGCGATTCCCCGGTGGAAGCCATGACCGAGTCCTGGAAAGTCATCCACACCGGCCATTCAGATGATTCTCTCGGCGGCTCTCTCGAGGCTTCTTCAGAAGATTCTCCGAACAGCTCCCCCGACGGTTCTTCAGAAGATTCCCCAAGCAGCTCCCCCGACGATTCTTCAGAAGAATCCCAAAGCAGTTTCCCGAGCGAGAGCTCGGAAGACTCTCCGAGCAGCTCGCCAAGCAGCACCCCGAGCGGAAGCACGGAGGACTCTACGACTCACTCGCCAGCAAGTGTTCCGGATGAGTCTGGGGGCGAAGTTCAACCCAATCTAATGCGGATCGCAGCGCAGTACATGCCCCCAATCAGTCACCCGAGAGGTTTCGCGATTGATCAGTTAGACTATGCGAAACAATATGCGAAAGAGAATTTTCTGGCCCACAATAATCATTATCGTTTCGCGCATGACTGGGCTTACGCTGACGAAAGACACCCGAATGCGCGGCACCTTCCAGAAGATCCACCCCTCTACGCCGACCCACTGACGTTTGGTGGATTCATACCCCACGCGGATCCGTATGCGATCGGCGCGCATGGGGTGGGAGCTATCGGCGGCGGAGGCTTAGGAGAGCATTCCGGCGTCAACCACATATACGGGGGCGATCCCAGCTACGGATTCACCGGTCCGGCGTCACTCGGCAGAAACACGTGGTTCTCGGGTGCCTACGGGAGACGTTTCGCCACCCGATTCCCTCACATCGGATACGCTCACTACGAGTATCCTCCGCCTCCGCTTCTACCTCCCCCGCCTCCCCCACCTCAGCTTCCACCTCCTCCTCCCCCTCCGACTCTTGTTCCACTTCCTTTACCGCTTCCCCTTCCACTTCCGCTGCCAGTTCCAATTCCACGGCCGGAGCCCGTCGAGCATCCCGAAGCGCCTCTCCAGCATCTTGGGATGTTGGCATTGTTGTCCAAATTGACCCATCCTGAGCAGCACGAAAGGAAAATCATGATTCTTTGATTAATACATTTCGACGACGCCATCCCACTCACCCTTCGTCATTTCTCTCATTTATTGCAAACAATGCTGGACTCTCGAGAGAATGGAACCGATCAACGGTATATCTCGACGAGATTGAGGATTCCCTCGAACGACAATCATGCCAAGTCCTGGGACCGATAACAGAGACCCTCCGTAGAAAAGCCAGGACGCATGCGGGAGACGGCATCATTACGTGTGCCTCTGTCGATGCGCTCGGCACCGGGAGACGCTCCCTCGGCTCGTGGGAGAGAAGCGATTGGGGACTCGGACATTTTCCAAGCAAATAGATTTAAACTCTCGAATCCGAATCTACTTAACTCGCCACCGCTCGAATCGGATGGATCCTTCAACGAGATGCGATCTCGAAGTGAGTCAATCGCCGCGCATCCCACTAGGGACCGGTGGTTCTCGGGAAATATTGGAATACCAATAATGGCTCACCGCTAGTAGGGGTCAGATCGAGTCAGAGATGCGATACTCCGATGAGTAATCTAGATTCGGTATTCTGGAGCCAGAGGATTCGTAGGTCGGTTTCAATTCGATACCTGGACGATTCTTCCTCGGAAAACCAGAAGGAGTCAGGGGTACGAGCTTCGTGCAAAAATTACACATCTCCTTTTGCTTTTGAACTGACGCCCATGACTGCGACGACTCAGAAATTTGGACTCTCTGGGGATCCCAATCCTCTCGGAGCTGTTTGTTCTCGGATTCGGATCATTCTCAGCTATTCAGTGGACTGCGCGTCTAGCGTCGAGGAACGATTTTGCACGTGCTGCAAAGGCGCCAAACTTCCGCAACCCGAAACCCGATAGCTTATGAGAGCAAGCATACAAGTTGAAGCTATCAAAGCTCAACATGAATGACACTGAATTTCCATGATTTATTTACAGCAATATTCTGGATACGAGAAGACCATTCTCAGTCTTCTCCGGAGCAGCGGAAGTTTCAATGTTTCCAATGCATCGCATGCGACGCCGAAAACCGAGATTACTCTCAACAATATGTGTCAAGAAACGAGTATGTACAGCCTCGAGAATGAACGTCAACAATAATGTGTTTACAGTGTTCTGCGGATGCCGGAAAACTGTCGTGGCGGTGGGAAGCTCGATCGAGTGACGGCTCCGTCAGCACAGCCGATTCGTCGCAGCAATTCTGCTAACTTGTTCATTGCTCTTGCTTCATGGGAGTGTAGCTGACTTTTGGCAGGGTTTCCCGGGCTAGCTGGGCGCAACATTCGGTGGTGAGCGGATTGTTCTCGAGGTGGATCTCGCAGTCTAACCGCTTGAGTCCCGTTATATCCACATCTGGAACGAAGGTTGCGTTTCTAGGTTCTTCCTTGATTTCGGAAACTCAGCAATTCATCGTTACGAGGGAGCGGGGGAGGGAGCTGGTGCCACACTTTTTCCTAGAGTCGGAACTCTGAGCGGCTTCAAGTTCGCTATTGGAGTTGAGTCAAGACGAGACAGTTGAAGTATCCGAACCCCAAGAAATATCACGACAAACGAACACAATAGAATCCTCCGTCTCGAAACTATCCCATGGAACTTACCCACAATATGATTATTGCTCAGATTCAGGAAACGCAACTGAGTCATCCGATATAAACACCATGGAATCGAGGTGAAATCATTGCCGCTGAGATCCAGGTGTGTGAGATTTTCCAGTTCTGATATCTCGTCCGGGAGGTTGAATAGTCTTCAATAAATGAGAACTTTGAGTCATAAATAGGGAAGAGGAGAGTGGAGTGTCGGAAGCCTGGAAGACGCTCGATAATCTCTCGGGACTCTGACTGAGGAATGCTCGTTCGACTTGAAGCCACACCTCGGGAAAGATTCGATGACGACTTCCCGTCGTGCACATTCTAAGAGGTATGATCCAACCCAAGTCTAGTCAGAAAATCGAGCCGCGAATCGGGCAGACTTCTCACCTGTTGGACGCTAAATTCAGCGAGCTGATGCCGGTGAATTTCCTAGGCACTTTAGATGGTATTTTTCTGATGACATTCTGCGACAGATCCAAACTCTCCAGCTGAGTGTTCCGCATCAGCATGAAGATTGCGTCTGGGAACGAAGCTAGAAAACACGCAGATAGATCTGTAAATCGAAAAGATTTGACTAGGTGAGACTTGGCCGGAGACCCCGCAGATTTTACAATACATCGAGCTTCACCGTATTCGATCAGCTAGACTTCACGGTTGTTGCAGACTGATTCTCGCATAGATCAGCTTCTGCGTAGATATGGATTGATAGAGCCAGACGAGTGTTTGCCTACTGCGCCCATCGATTTCATGACACCGTGTCGCTTCGAATGTGTCTTATTCGAATCCTCCGTCGGTATCCGGATGAGCACAGAAGTAAGAGAGGATTAAGTACCTAATTGAGGGCTTTTCAGTGGATTTGCAAGAGGCATGAAAATTGAAAACCCTTTCGTGGACGAAGACATTCGGGGTGGGTCGTCGCTTACTGCCCCCCCGGCGTGAGATCTTATCTCGAATGAGACGACCTTGCCCGCTTTCTATCAGGCTGAAACATTCACGCAGCACCGAATCAAGCTCGCCCCGCGTTTTTTCGGTCTTTCCATGAGAAAAGTCTGTGCCGTTGGGCATCGAAAATCGTAGTCTTAGTCTGAGTGTCACGGTCAATAATGATCTCTTAGGGAGTGAGGAACAGCTTCCGATCTCTATTTTTCTTGACGGTCGCAGGAATTCGGATGCATCATACTTCCGACTTGTTGGAAAAAAAATCAATCGGAAAACGCATCTCGGCGTAGAGTTTCGAGCTCTTCGCAGCGCGGGATGCCACTTTGAAAGTTGGTGAAACACTAGACATTCGATCCAATTCACGAAATCTCCACTTGCGAGTGATTTTTATTCTTTGTAGCCTTTCTTAGAAAGCCCCGAATTGACACACGACGAAAAACGGCGCTTTTTAGTCCAAATTCGAGAAGACTTGACGTCGTCGCAGGAATCGGGGTCCATTTATGCAGAGATCTGTGACTACCGCTAACGTAACAGCGGTCAAACTGGCCAAAGAAATGCGATCGTTACGTAATGAATGTCTGCGCCAGCGTCTTACCAACACCGCCAGCGCTTACCGAGCGGTGGCAAGCTACCTTGGCCCCGTTTCTGAAACTGCTGAAGCGCGGAGGCAAGTTCAAGTTCTCCGGGTTCTCCCGACTTTAATTGCATGCCACTTCGCAGCGTAGTTCAATTCTATCTTTGGGCTAGCGATTAGGATCACCCGTCTACTACGCAGCTGGATTTTCCAGGCGATCTTGATGCAGGATAGGACAAAACACTGGCCCCTTGTGCACTGCGCTGGGAATCCAGAGCCATGAGCCATGGCCAGCAGAGGGACACCGAATAATGGAAGTTACATATATGTGCCGATCCCGGGAGACGGTCCGGACCGGGGACGAACTCGGTACAATCGCTCCCAAAATGGCCGGGATCCGATCTCCCGATACTCCAGCGTTTTTTCTTCAATTAGCTCGCGACGTGTCTTCGTTTCGGAGCATCATCCAGCTCTCGAGCCTCCAACAATCCGTTCTGATATTCTGCTGCAAGTTTTTCCGTCAGTCAAAGCTCGGAGCCAATGCGTGGTGCGGCTGTGACGTTCCGCGGGCAGCCGCTGCTCCGAGCCGCTCGATCGGGAGAAAGCTTGCAAAGTCATTACACCTGACCACATCAGATCGAACCAGCAGTAAGAGACGGAATAAGAAAGACGAGCCCCGCATTGCAGCAACTTTTCTTTTCTCCGCGGAAGTTTGAAATAACTCTCTCTTTTGCCGAGCAGAATCTAGATGAGAATATTTGCTCCGTTGTCGATATTTGCCTCGGTGCGTCACAAACCAGCATTATCCGTTGAATCTTTGACACTCCGACGAACGTACGCAAATCCAAAATGGGAAGTCTAACGTCTCGCGCAGGCAACTTCCATCTTTCTTCCGACGACGGCCGAAACCACGTGAAGTTGAGCAATGAGAAAAAGCTCCGAAAATCGCGTAACTTTTTCGGCGACCGAGTCAGACCAATCATGGATGCAGAGAAGTCAACAAAATTACGGAAAGTCCCGAAACCGCTAGGATTGAGCTCTCTTCATGAGCTAAGATCACGTCTTTCGATGTCGCTTCCCGTACTTCCAAGCTATGTCAACCATGCATTTCGAGACTCCCCCTCAATCGGGAAATCAGCTTATCTCCTTGAGAGTTTCCGAATCCCCGAATTTCCATTCAAAGCTATCTTACTCGAAGAGGGACTTGACTCTGACAGCCCAGATAGAACAGAGCTCCTTCGACAATGCCTCGAGCTTTCTCACTGGTCTCGATTTCATGGGTCATATGGAGCGACGAATTGGAGGAATGAGGTCCGAAGAATGAAAAGAACTCTCCTTCGGACTCCTCTCAGGCACCCGAGGCGCTATCTGAGCTCTCAATCTTGATTCCGTTCCAGACTGGGAAGAGTTCCCGACCATCACGGACGCACATTCGCCACGGCACTCACCTAGTCTTTGGTTAACCATTGCATCTTCACATCGGTGCACCACACGGACGACCCCTTTCGGTGCGCCTATGGAGTCCTCGGCTGTCATCACAATAGCCATCTCGCTCTTCCGTATGCCCAGATGTTTCTGACACAAGGTTTCTGAACTATAGGCGACTCCGTCTGGCACGACGAAGCCCGGGCCTACCTACTCCGACGTCGGTACCTCAGCTTCTAGGTACCACGGACGACGTAGCAGGCCGATACCTAGCTCGCGCTTCAACGCGCACAGCTCGCCACTGTCGTGTCCCTCTTGCCCAGAGCTCTATTTTTAGACCCCGAATGGGTCTACGACGCCGGAGCGAGGAGGTGGTTCGCGCACACTATTGACATCGCTGTTGTATTATTGTCAGGCGAAGATTCTGTTCGTGCTCCCGCTGCTCCGTATGATCCCCATTCTTGCCAATGTCCACCCGATCGGGCATCGACGTTGGGAGCTCGGAACCGAAGTCCGCTGTCTAGCGAGCGGATACGGTAGGGGTCGCAGCACGTTGTGGGGAGAGCTCGGGCCGAATCGACTTGGAGAATCTATCAATAAGGCGGCAGATGATCTAATTGCCGATTTCCATGCTCTGGTTCTTAACGAAGGGAGCGGTCCCAAAATCCGTTCCGAGAAAATAATCGACCCCGTGGGTTTTCGTAGAGTTTTTCTCATTTCGATAAAGCTCATTGCCAAGTAATCGTTCGTTTAAGACAACTTAGGGGTATCAGGACTCCGAATGTTGTATTTGACCTCTCAAGGAGTTGATGATTCTCAAGCTCTTAGCTGATATGAGGCTCGGATTGGCAAGCTTGACCGACGGTTGTTCTTACGCTTCGAAGAGCGACTTCGCGTTCGTTTGAAACTTCGACAGAGCTCACACGAAAGCGCGAGCATTATTTTCAGGCGGATTTTTGTCGATATTACGGCGGCGCGAGGTCGACGATAAATTCTCGCCTCCCCTTGTTCTACAACGGGGTGCTCACCACACCCGAGTAGGAAACGCTTTCGTAGGTCAACGTTTGGAACAGAAAAAGACGAATTCCGATTAGGACCAGACTGGACGCGTTTTTGTTCTCGCAATTCGAATCAGACGAAGGATCGAGAGGAGGTGAATATTGTAGACCGTTGCTTGATTCATTGCCCGAGGCACCCCGAATAAGATAATCATGGAGGACTCCTAAGACGTGCCTTCAGTGAATCGAAAATAGACCGGGTAAGAGCGGCACAATTGAGTACTCTATCCGGTTAGAAGTCCCTGGATAGGAAACTACGCTACGCGGTTAAGGAGGCTTCTACATTACCGGTCAATGGTTTCGCTCTTATCTATTAGCAAGTCGGATGGGAGCACAGATATGTACACGGTACACTACGGATGAAGGATTCTAAATGCAAGGACGTCACTTATTATTCTCGGAATCGCAGTATGAATCGGAAATCCCTGGACCGAACACATGCTCTCATGACGATGAGCTTCCATTTTCATCGAAGAAATACAACGCCGCCGCCGGACCTAATCTTCGATGATGATGAGAAGCGAAGGATTCTTGAGCATTTTTCTTATTATTCACGAATCGAAGTCTCTATTCACGCTGCAGGCTTCACCTCCCGGTTGACGAACTCCAAGACCCGAAGTTAAGGGGAGTCAATTCTACGCATCCGTCCGGCAACCCGTTCGTCATGCGGTGCTTTGAGGAGCCGCTAGGTGCGGAGCTCGGATTCGGATCCTCGTAGTACGCGTAATCTTGGCTCAGATCCATGGCTTCATCAGTATCGTCCGGCAATGGCGACTCCAAGTGCTCCATCATGAAGTCGAAGAACTTGATCTGCCCGGGCTGGACAGGCTTTGGAACCGCTCCTTCAGCACTCGCTACTGGCATACCTCCTACGTACGGGAACATAGTTCCGTATTTGACGCACGTTCCACAAGCACTCGGGATTTTCGCAGCGTGCTGTCCTTCCATCACAGAATGCGACCAAGTCTGATGAAGAGCGAAAGTCGCCGACGAATCACATCACGAATTTCGGGATTAGCTATCTCAACTCCCGCTAATCTCTCCGAAGACTTTCTGCTGATACATTTCTGTTGATACTCGGTGACATTCACATCGCTTGGAAGCTCCAAAAGAGGATTGGCCAGAACAGATCATGGAAATCCGAGAATGTCAGATTTGAGATTATACTCTCTTTCCAGTCTAACTCGTAGGCCAGGCTGATTCCCTCAGATATGATGCCTGCGTCACGAGCAGTCCCTGTTGAAACTGGGAGTCTGCGCCTGCGTGAATGTTCACATAGAGAACAGCTTCGCACAGCGACCGGTGGAGCAGCTGGGCTTGATTCACCGGGAAGATCCCTTACGTTCTGTCGGTCATTCACTTCTCGAGAAGCTTCTCGAGAGAAGAAATGGACCTTGACTGCGTATGGAACTCTGCTCATAGTCGCACCGATTTTTTCAAAACACTCCTCCGACGGTTTTGGATGGAGCAACGATCCCGAGCTGACCGGAGGTGATACTTGAGTTCATCGGCCGGTACCTCCGTGGAAGACTCCCCTCTCGATAAGTCTTACTCTCGAGACGCTCTGCAGCACGAAATCATACGTCGAATGATCAGAGCTGGCGACCCTTGATCATTGAGTGCATCGAATAGGCTTTCAATGAATTGATCCAAAGACTTGGCCTCCCAACGCGGCGGACGCCGCCATCTTTCATGATTTGCGAGCGAGAATTCAACGACCCGACGTAGTTCAATTCTCCAGAGTTGCATGAGAAGAAGAAAAAGCGAGGATTGCTCCTGAGTTCGTAATCGTATCTATGTGGAGGAGGAAGTAACGTCGCGGATAGATTCTGTCGGAGAATCGAGTGGAAGAAGAGCAATAACATAGGATCAGAAGTCCTCGTCTTGTCTGGAGCCTCATGATCGCGAACCCGACCGAGTCATTCGGGAGCGATTGTCTCAAGTGATGGGATTCTATGCTGATGATCGATGGTTACCATGACGAGGCGTGGAAATGATCATATCTCGCACGCCTTTGCGATCTTTTGGGCTGGGAGTTGGAGCGGTAGTCAGGTCTGACGCCTCGCGGCCTGTGTACGCACTCTCGTCAGAGGCTGCTGATGTTGTCAATTCGGTTGTCAGCGATATCGGATAACGTGGGGAACGTCTTCCATTGCAACAGTCGAGGAAGATGTTGATCGGAACGGATGCAAACGATTCAGCGAACTTTCGCCTCAAGATCTGAGCCGCCTCCCGCCGAGGGAGGGGAATCGCTCGGGGTCGGGGGTGATAGGGAGCGACAGCTTGAGATGCCTCTACCGTCTGTCCCCGACTCGACGAAGACGTTTGCCTCCTACGAAGTCGATTGCCTGGCCGACCGAATCAGCCACAGCTTTTTTGTTTGAGGCCTCGTCCACTTCATTCATGGTCATTCATCCCCAAGCGACCCGCTTGCCATTCTACTCCTCCGATTCACTGGTGACCCCACTGAAATATCCGCGAGGAGCGTTCTGCGGCGGAGGAATCACGTACGACTCCCCTCGCCCGCGAACGACCACGGCAACTGTCCAGAAGCTTCCTGAGAGAAATTGAGTTCCTCATAAGTATACGAGCGATGCAATGCGTTCTTCGAAGAATGAAAATTTCTATCGATACACTTGAAAAAAAATCACTCCCAAGGTTGCTTGAAGCTCGCTCCGAAGAACGGGGACCGTTTTCTGACATGAGGCGTCACGCTGCGACCCCCGCTGCTGAGCCTAAGAGGTCTTATCGGTGCGGGTTGGAAGCAAAGCACAAGGGACATGAAGGGATATACGAACAGCGCTGGGGTGGAGAAACAAAGGGGAGGTGGTTGGAGAGCAGGGCCAATCCTCCGAGTCAGAGTCTCTCGTATCCAAACGAGGCCCCTACCCAGCGACTCATCTGGCTTTTGTTGAAGATCGTTGGAATGGCTCAACAATGTGTCCTGAGTCCTGACCCGAAAGTCCACTTTGCTTCTTTCGAGAGAGGATCGGTAGCACCGAAAAAAGTCGAACTTCCCCAAGTATCAAGAACACGCATGAAAGGATTCGCGTGAGGTTTTCTCCGCAGCGATCCGTCCCGACAGCCTTCAGGCTCTAAATATATGTACCCTCGTAGAACCATGATACGCATGTTCCGTATCATCTATGAGGATTTCCTGGCCGCGCACACTCCGGGACTTGATGCCCACAACGTTTCACAAATAATAAAAAATCAGTCTTCCTCTTCTCGTGGCTATTGTAGCCCGCGGATCGGTAAGCTTTTTATTCCCGTCATTCAAGTTAAAATTTCCTCTGTCGATTCCATCCGAATCCTGTCAAACGCGACTTCTGTCGGTGGATTTTGAAGACGTAAGACATCGAACAGCTTCTGGCGAAATATTGCTCCCCAAACAGATGAAAAACGTGTATCGTTGCGTCGTCAGAATTGTGTGATATAAGTACGGAGCCGAGCGGGATCGCCGAGACCCGGTCGAGTGGAAAGCTTTTTTGCCTGAATTCGAGTCTCGTCCTGTGGCCCACCACCTATTCGCATTGGGGCGACGTGATTATCTCCTGTGCTCGGAGCAGATCAACTTTCAAATTGGTTCTACCGCAGTTGTGGACTCCGTTTGTTCGATCTGAGTTGCATAACGAAGGCGAGTGAAATTAAAATAGACAATGATGTTGACTACATTCTGGTCTCTTCTCTTTCGTCTTCGACTCGGATTGTCGGTGTGATCGAAATGCTCTGCTTCGAAGTGGTCCTATCGGGGGACTCCAAGGAAGATCCTTTTTGGCCGACAACACTTTTGATCGTTCCAGAGCTGAAGGCGAATGAGCTGCTTACGGATGTTGGCGAACCACGTCCGCTACCCAAGTCTTCCGAATCTGTTGGGGAGGGAAGTTGCAATAGAATGATTCGAGCCGGTATCATCGCACTACTGAAAGTAATAATAGACGAGAAGGCAGCGAATGGGGATGCCTACCTTTAGACTGAAGCGAGATAGAATCGTCTCTCGAGCCGTACGCAACTTGCACGCGTGGTTTCGGTGGTGGGGTGGGTGCACACATCGATCGGATTTGGTCTTCGACACCGTTGGACGGAGCGAGTTTCTTTGCAGCGGAATCCGGACTCGAGGCGTCATCAGAGAGACTCTGATCAACGACAGTTCTGCGCTTCCGCAAGAGTTCTTCCAAAGTATTGTTTTGGCCCTTGTACTGATGAGAGGAGGGATTATCTCAGTTGCAGGATATTTCGCGAATTTTTCCAGGAGCTCGATTACGCAGAGGGGAAATCTTTCGCGAAAAGATGCCTATCACGGTTGTACTCACGCCACAAAGGTTCTTTTGCACTGTCAGATGACTCATGAGTTTCCGAACCTCTTCTTGACAAACGTTGGAGCCATCGAAAAAATCTCGAGTCAAACCAAACATCTCCTCGCCGGTCCGGTGTCGGCAGGCCTCCATGATTCTGTGATTGGAAAAAAATATACTCGTCTACTCTGCTCGCAAGAGATTGGCCAGGGGCCAGGGCCCTTGGCCTACTCCGGCTCTCAGGATTCCGGAAGCCCAGGTTTCCGGCTCGATCGGGAAATTCAAAGAACTCGAAAGTTTTCAGACGGAGGAAGCTCGACTCACGGAGGCTCGAATCCTTTCTCAATCATCCAATCGCGCACTTCTTGGGGAGTGCTCTCTGGGGTTATGTAGTTGAAAACAGTCGGTGGTCTCCGCTTCTTCGAGGGATCCCCATTGTCGATTGGGTTGGACTGATCTCTTTGCAGGGATAGCCGAGTTTTGAGCTCCTCGCTGAATTGAGTCATGAACGGCGGCGGCGAGTTATCCTTCTTCTTGCCATTCGCGTGCCTGTCCCTGAGGGAATGGACGTGAAGCGTTTATGGGACGAAAGACGCTAGAGCTGACCTCAGATTCCGAGGAACGTGGAGACAGGATGATCTGGATAATCCTCCCTCGAAATTTCGCGATATTCCCTACATTCAAACATTGATCAGGACTGTTGAAATTCCGGGAACATTGATCAGGACCGTTCAAAATCCCGAAAAATGAGGCCATCGATTCTCAAACGACGGGGAAGGCTCCGCGCTCGTCCGGAACGACGGACGAGAAGGAACCGGCCATGGATAAGGCGCCGTAGTCACTCGAATGCGAATAACTTCTGAGCATGTACTCAATGAAGCCCATTCAGGCGGAAAGAACGATTTGATCGATTGCGAGAGCACTCCGGCCGAGCAACGACCCGATGAAGTTGACTACGACACGAGAACAGCAACAGTGACAACACCGGCAACAGCAGCAGCGAGGGCGGCAGTAGCGAAGGGAGGTGTTGATGGCGGTCTTTCGACGCACAGGTGAACGATACGTCTTCCCGTGAACTATTGCGACCATTGCCTTAAGCTATCAACCAACAGCACAGGCGATCAGTGAGCCGGAGGAATCGATTTGCACGGAGGGGTGTAGCCGATTCCCAGACTCTAGAATGGTGTTGACAGGAATTTCGAGAGAGGAGACGGAATTGTTTTTTCCGAGTTCGGTATCGGGGGATCGATTCGCTGTCTGCACGATGCTCATCCGGTCTCGGCCTATAATACTGACTTGGGAGGGAATTTACGAGAGCTGACAGGTTTGAGCTTGTAGCGATGGTTCCGGTGCCGAATCATTTCGATCAGGGGCTTTAAGAACATTCTGGATTGGGGAACGGGATCATCTCCCGTGCAGCTCCCCATGCTCGCTTTCTGACGTTTGACAACTTATTCAGAAACACGACTCGGATTGAGTTGCCGGCTGTTCATTTGATTGTGGATAACTTCCATGGACGCTCGCGGATCTCGGGAGAATAACAATACTATGCGAACAAGACATGCGAAGAATGTGTCGCACGTGACGTCCATGTCGCCCGGGTCGAACGGCGCTACCGGCGGCGACCGACTCATGTCGTTGACGAGTTTGGCCCTTTTCCTCCTTCGTTCAGCGGCGCAAAGGACGCCTAGCGAAAATCGAAGCGAATCCGACCCCTGTTGCTCGCTATTCAAATCGATGGAGGGGGACGGTTTTCGCGACCTGCCGGAGGCGTGTGACTTGAATGTAAAGAGCGCCGCGAGCGTTGGGCGAGCCTCCTATGTACACAATGTCTCGAAAGCGGGCCTCCCGATGCGGGAAAATATTTTTTCGCCGAGTTGAATCAGCAGGAATCAAGGACTTACAGAGGATTCGCTCGCGAGCAGTAAACACGAAATACGGTGCGGCCTCCATCGGGCCCCCAAGCCCCAAGGATCCCGACCCCTATCGGTTCCTGCCGGTGCATGGACTCGCAGCTAAGCAGCGTTGACGCGGCTCCGCGGGACAAAAAGCGCTTGACGGCAGACCTTACACCGACATATTAAGCAACTCACCCGACGATGGACGAATTAGTGGTCGAAAGCGTGGAGATGGAGTCCTGGTCGGAACTCCTTCTGCGAGCTCGGATCGACGACATGCTGCCGTAATGCGACGAATGGCTCGAGGCGTGAGAGAGTTGCGACCAACTTCCGATGCTCTTCTGCTTCTCGAGACGATGGGTCGTCCATTTGGGAAGCGGTGGCGGTGTCGGGATTACAAGGTCCGGACTAAATTACAGATGGGAAAGCTCATACTTATTCACGTACTATTCACATGGAAACAACAGCTCGAAGCACATTCAGCACAATATTAGCGAAAAATCGAAGCCCGCGGCCCACGAATCGTCGGGCCACTCCGTAAGCTCTTGAACATGATAGAGATCTCTTCGGTAGGAAGCAGGAACAGAGACACAAAGCTGTCGGACAGGGAATAATATGCGACCGTCGCGACGGCCTCTGCGAAGGATTGGACGGAGTCTGCGATGACGTCACTTACTCGTGTGGTTTCCGATGATGATGATTGTGATGATGATGATGACTCGGAGTAGGCGGAGAAGGAGTGTGGTAATGGAAGGGCGATGAATGGGTCTGCGGTTGCCGGTCGACATGGTCGACTGAGCCGTACCGTTTCAAATCTTGGGTTTCCTTCGACGAACTGCGGATCTGTTTCTTCAGGGCTTTCTGCTGTGATCTGGGCAGCGTGCTGCAACCTTCTTCAGATGGCGCTCTCTTGGGCATATCGTACCTGTGCACGGGAAGATTTTTTTCACCGATTTTCGCACCTCCTCTTTGGTGGCGTGAAAGTCGAAGGGAAACAAGGGCCATCCCATACTTCGCTACCTAGTGGAGCAGGAAAGGATTTCGAGCGTTACCTTGGCTCCTCCACGTGATGCCTGGCGACAGGCGAAGTGTATCGATGTTTGAGGTCCTGATTGAGGGACGCAGAATGTCTACGTTCCTGTCGGTGTTTCTCGCACAGAGGGCCGTATTCGGGATTCGCTGTCGCAACGGAGTGTCTGGTGACCTTGCCCAGGGCTTGCATTTCGCTCCTACGCGCAGACGATACGGGATTCGTGGGCGTAGTCGGCCTCAGCTCTGGTTTCGCGTACAGGGCGTCCAGCGAGGCCGCATATCCGCGGTGATTCTCGCAGACGGTGATTTGTTCGGTGTACAGAGGTCCGGACGAGTACGTTCCTGATATTAGTGGTTAGTCATTAATTTGCGAGGATTTGTGCGGCTTTCGTGACTTCGTGACCGACGGATATCAGCAGGCTTGAACGAATCGTCGATTCGACACACAGCAGGGACTCCCAAGAGTTTATTCTCTCGAATCTCACGTGAGGTGCGGTTTGAGGAAAGGCGGGGGAGGGGTTACGCTTGGATTAATCGGTGGATAAGCATGCAAGCAAGAAAGCGAGTCCGATGTCGGGTAGCAGTCAGAATGGATAATGATATTCGGATTTTCACGCGGACAGACGGCTTGAAAATCCATGGGAGAGGCGACTGGATGGAGCGCCAACCCGTGACTCAGGCGAACGGCATAAGTCTCAAACTCCCCCGTGGGTGGACGAATAAGACAGCCTCGGAAGCGAGCCCGTGGCCCCGAAATAAGACAAGCCTTTGTTGTAGCCTCGCATCTAAAGCAACCCCTGCTAGCGAAGTAAACTTCGTCGGTTCCGTAACTTCCTGCAAGGGAACGGCTTATGCGAGAACAACACCTGAGCTACGACTGTCCAGATTCAAGACTAGCGTCCTCTCTCGAGTAGACTCAGACGCGATTAAATTAAATTGTCCCGCAACGGAGCCCTTTTCCGGAGTTCGTTGTGAAACAGCGGCGAGTCGTAAACCTTGCGTAGCAGATCAAAAATAAAAAATCGGCTGCGGGTTCGCAGGACGCTCAGTGCTATCGAATTGTTATCTGCGTGAATCGATTTGAAACACGAGCATAGAAAGGGGTGCAGCTCCAGGCAGATCCCTGAGCCTCTGTAGAAGCTGCTGTATACATGTACATAAGGTGCGGGGGTGAAGGAAACGGACGCAGATGGCGCACCACATTCAGACATGCAGCTTTGTACGGTGGAGACACGCGGAGATATATATCGCCTTCACAAAGACCGCCAGACCTGCGGGATAGGCAAGCTAGCGGGGATAGGCCAACGGCGAGATATGTTGATGATCTGAAATGCGCATACGAAACTAGCTCACGGGGGGAAAGAGCGGGACAATTGAGATGTTCTTCCTCGCCGCTCCCTCGGCGAGGATTGAAAGTAGCGGGGAAGAGCTTTTGGGATGCCGGAGATGCACGGGCCGTCAAAGAATGGAGCAATCGATCATTATCGAGCAAGCATTTATTGTATAAAAGCGGGGCTCCCAACGTCATGTTTTCCCTCATTTACCTAACTGAACCTGTCGACAGTCGTTTTGAGCACTCGGGTATTTACAGCCATAAGGGGACTCTTTTTTGCTACCAAGATCATGGAGTCTGTGTCGACTGCACGCGTCGCCCGACACTCGATAGACGCTCTGAGGATTGATAACTGAATGCTCAGAGAGAAGAGAGTCTCTCCGGGAAAAGGGAATGAATCGAAAATCAGATTTCAACCTCCTCTCCGATCCATGATCGGGTGGAGTCGATCGGTGCCGCGACATTTGCCGGCTGACACGTTTTCCCGATACTTTCATAAGAAAAAAAACGCTTGCCGCTCGGTTAGTTCTCTTCTCTGACGGTTCTGTCTCCCGTAATCACGTGGTCTATCAGAATAGCTTTTCGATCTATATATATTTTATTTATAAATTTCTGGACTTATGGATAGAAGTGAATTGATTCCTCCCCGTTATGGCCCCTCCCCACTCTATCCCGTCGTTCGCGGTTCCGCCCCTTCGTCTCGACGAGGGTCATTCTTGGGAATCGGCCCGAGAATCGACACAATTGTGGCTATGTTCAATTCGCACTATCGAATCGTCCCCTCGATTCATCAAACGTTCTCTGTCAGACGCTCTAAGAGCGAGCTCGCCGTGAAACATGAGACATTATCATTTCCACACAGGCATATGGTGTACAATACTGCGACCTGCAGACGGTCTGTCTAGGTGGGCAAGAAACATGCGATGAACCAAATTTTGAAATGATTACGAGCAGGCTCTGGTGGGAACACATTTACGAAGCATCTGATCGAATGCGTGTGTGAATGTGAGTGACCTGGATTAGAATATTTATATACACCGCATCTAATTAAGCTAATGTAGCTCGACGCCGATCGCACGCGGGAATATGTTTCGAGTGAAGCCTGGACTTTGGTGGTTCCTATGTACATGCCGGGGTAGGGAATGAGCAGGTGACGCCAGGAAGGTCGGGTGGTCGGACGGGCGGGCGGTCGCACAGTCTGGTGGTCGATAGATAGGGAACGGTGGGAGGGGAACGGGCGGAGTTTGTCGCGGGGATCCAGACGAGTGAAGATATCTGGCCAGGCGCATAGGGTGAAGACGAAAGAGCAGCCGATCACTCAAAAATAACGGAATTCACCTTTCTTCCCCTGACGTTCCCTGCGGACCCACTCGGCGGGAGCTGGTTGATTGGGTGAACCTCGAACCGCCCCGCGGGCATAGCCCTCCACGGGCGACTCGCTCTGCAAATTACCAAAAACGATTTTAGCTCCAAAATGTTGTTTTTCCGTTTTTGAATCGTTACGATTTTCCCGACGAGAAAAAATCGAGATGCGTGAACGCGATCCGCTCAGACTGCGGAACATCTGTGCCGTGCCCTTGGAACTTTTTCCTCGTGAATCTTGACAAAGCGGGTACACAAATGGATTCTCTACAGAGAAATAAATTTCGAACGCCGCACAACATGGAGGACATGCGGAGCGCTCCGGGACGCGGGCGAAGCGGTTTCAAAATTCGCAGTCAAATTCAGGCTTCGCAGGATTTCCCGAAATACGTTATGGCTCGCTCCTCGTCGAAAATCTTACCGGACTGTAGTTGGCAGACTCGTAACCATTGTTGTGGAAATCATCGCCGACGGGCGCGACAATCGTGTGAGGCACGTGACCAACCTGCCCGCGGATGTTTCTGGTTCTCCACCATTTGCGCGAGTCGTCCAGGATCTAATTGGATGAACAGCAGGAAATTAGATCAAGCATCGAGCAAGGTCGTGTAGTTGATTTTCGGGCGAATGTAACCTAATTTCGACAAGGAGGAATATTCATGACAAGCATCGATCATCATTCGGTCATGGGTTCCGCTGTTGAGAAATTCGCGGACCATCGGTTGAGCTCTGGCGCAACGGAAATCGCCGCATCGCCGAGCAGCAGAGGATGTCTCACCTCGAATGCCCTGGAGCTCTCGAGACCCGTGTGCGATCCTGTCAACGAAGTTATCGAGGGTTCCGATCGCCCAGAATAGGGGCATGCCATGTCTCGATCGAGTACCCCACCGATCTCAGCGAAAATTAAATCCTTCAGACCGATGCTCGCAGGATACTTTCAAGACTGCCACATCGGCAGAAAATTTCGGAATCTCACGCTAAGTGAATCTCTAAGATTCGAAGAGCAATTGTTTGACTCGTTCGGTTTTGCAAAGTGTTAGGAGAACGCTTGTTCCATGCGCACTGTCTGCGAGAGGACGGAGTTTTTCGCACGGAGCGAGTTACGAGTTCTGGAGGCGCGGGAGGGTACCTCTGCAATCAAGCGCGATCGCTTGATTGCAGAGGTACTGTACGAATCTCTCAGGTGTTATTTCCACTGTGTTTTTTCGGAGATGGAAAGGTGATCCGTCCGCGTCTGTTGAGCCATCTTTCGAAATGGCAAACAATTCTCGGATCTCTAGACAATGGAAAAGGATGTCCGCTCGTCCTAGCTCTCTCGGCTGTGGGTTGGCGGAAAGATCAGAAAATGAATGGTACTCGCCTCGAGGTATTCTCCGCGGATGACGGTGAGCTCCTTGTCATTGTTAGCTGTACGAGGGTACATCACCTGCACAACTTTCGCCTGAGCGGCTTTCAAGTCATCGAGGAACAGCGCCTGGTAGAACCGCGGGATAGATCACGAGTTAGACTAACACTGCTCAGTATCGAATCTCTGGCACACACCAGTTGTTCGGCTTTCGGTACCGAGCTTTCAATAGCAATTGACGATGCCACATTCATTTCGGTTCCCCACGGACTCGGAAAAACCGACGGCGCGGCGGCTCCGGTTCCGACGACAACGGCACTCGGAGAGCAACGACTAACTCGATAGCCGGAAATAATTCCTCTGCCATGGGACACTCTGAACACTAGACATGGAATGGAGCTTCACCTGCTGACGTTCGAAGTTCCGTTGTGCGTCGAGACCGTTCGGAGGCTCCATCGAGTCGCTGCTGATGTCGGATCTCTGCACAAACTCGTGTTCCGATGGCGTCCGCGCACGTTCCTCGGGATAGCCCCCGCGAGGCGGCGGAGGGCCGTAGAGGGCATGGGGGCTTTCGGCGCGCAATTCATAACGATCGGCCGATCGAACATAATCCTGAAATTGCATGGCGTCTTCATCGGAGAATGTCGATAGGGCCGATCGAGGTCGCCGACTTCTCGTCGGAAGAGTCAAAATCAAATACTCATTGCTCCTAGGAGCCACACAATCTTTCGGAAGGGCACAGTAGCGCGGCAATGACGCGTATTCGCTTAGAGCCATGACCAGCTACGCGAACAGCCGCGTAGCCGGATGAGCAGGCGAACTGCTGTTGCTCTCGCTCGAAAGTTGTCACATCAAGGCGAGACCGACTGTTTGTCTCCCTCGCTGGATCGAGAGGAGAGCGGATCAGATTCTCGAATCCCATGCGTTACGGCGAGCGGGAACCGACCATCCGGGGACGGAACGTTCCGGATCTCTCCGACGGCGCAATGAGTTCTGTTCTTTCTGCGAGTCGGAAAATATTTCGGCTTCGAACTTACGTCTGAGCGTCGTTTGGAGCCGGCCATGTCCGACGTATCATCGGGGAAGTGCGGGTACTCTGGAGCCCAGCCATCGGTGAACACTGGATGGTAGGTATCCTCGTAGTTCTTCCACTGGTCTCTGAATGGAAATCAAAAATTCTTTGAGCTTCTTCCCGGGATCGGTTCGATTTCCGACTCCGTCATGTGTCAGCGCGATACGCAGGATCTCAGAAATCATAGGCGAGATCATGCGGGGGTAGTTTATCTCATAATCGAAACTGGAAAGGGAATCCTCTATGGCGAGGATGATATGGCGCACATCTGATACAGCCGACATAATTTACAAGGGACGTAATTTAGTGTCGATGCCTCGCCCTCAAGGGTAAGCTCAAAGTTAGTTGGCCCTCAACGGAATTCTATGAACCCCTATCATCCGAAGGCGGAAAGACGACTGCCGATCCAAGTCGGGAGTTGAGTCTACTGAAGGAGTCGCAAAGCGTTCGCTAACCTTGGCACGGACCACGCGTCTCCGAGCGATCTCCAAAGATCGTTTTCCTTCGATGTACAACAATTATCAAGGAGCTCACAGGCGTCTCTTGTGAGTAGAGGTGCAACGACCTTGGCCGCAAGATTCGGACCGTAGTTGAAATCTCGGGCTGCGTCGACGATTACGGCGAGTGGCGTGAACAAAAAGTGAATCAACTCGGGTGAGTTCGGATCGTGGATGTGGTTCCGCAGTTTCGCGAGGAGGTTGAAGGACAGTTTGAATTTGGCCAGAATGTCCTCGAACTCCTTCTGAGGCGGGGGTTTTGCTCTCATGTTCAGGAGACCCTCTGAAAAAAGATTCAAAATTCTCAAACCATTGGAAGAAAATGTCATCCAGGCAGGTGAAGAGGGAGGAGCTCAAAAACAGGATTTCGGCTTCTGGGAACTCGGTGAACTCGACTGAGCGCGAGCTCAGCCCTCCGTCCGCGAAAAAAATGAGATCCGGGTCGACGTACCGCCCATATCCTTCTTCTTATTTCCACTCTTTTTTCCTTTGCGGCGCTTCTCAAGCTCCTTGTAGGCCGTGGCCGCGTTCTGGAGCCGAGCAATGAAGCGTTCGATGTCATCGAAGCAATGATTCAAGATGGCGACGTCGCGTTCGTAGCGATCGCTTCCCGTGGAGGACGAATCGTCGTTGCTCTCGTGTTCTCGTCGAACGTACTGAGCGTGTTGCGAGGATTTGAGCGCCTGCGCTCCAGAGGCCCCGATCGATCGCATCTCCTGAGGACGGATTTCCGGAGCTCCATCCGAATCGCCACCCCGGTTGGAAAGGCTACTCCGGGACTCAGCCTTGGCGTTATTGAAGATGCTCACCTGCGGAATCAAGAGAAAAATCGATTGAGCATCTCGACGATTCCGGAGAAGGTCGTCTTCCCGAAGAGCCGCAAAACCGTGGGCCCACGTCTGTCGCGTTGATTCTCTAAGCGCAGACAAAATATTCGGAATCTTCAGAAAGGATACCTGTTCCCTTACGTTGACCCCTGGTGTCGGGTGAACGCCGGGTGAAACACTCCTGGGAGCACTCTGAGCATTGGATGACAATTCATTTTTCTTCGGAAGTCCTTTGCCCAACATCAGGCCTTTGACATCGCTCACAACTTCCTGTGCCTGTAATTGAAATTTCCGATTTGTAGCAGAGAAGGAACGAGCAATAAATCGGGAGCGAGTCTCGTTAGCTCCGCGGAAACATGAGAAGTTAACGACCGACAATTGATTTTCCGCTCTAATTCGAACTCGATACACGAAGTCATGTCTTTTGTGCAGGAGGCTCCAAATCCATTCTTCTTCCCCATGGGCAAATTCGACATCTTGTTGAGACACGCGGCGACTGAATGTCAGTCTCGTGCTATGCGATTTTCCTGACGTCTGGAAGTGGGACGATTGCGCCAGCGAATCGAAAGCCAAACCACAGAAAGTTCGCCATGAGGTCGGGGCATTGTTTCGCCCCATGTGACACGTCGTCGGGGCTTTTTGCGATTTCCTGTGGCGGATCCGGATCATTGGGAATTATCCAGCAAATGAACGACAAATCGACGCGTTGCGACAGCGAGCGAAAAAAGACGATCGACCGACGGTGAGGACAGCGCTGATTATTATTCGGCCGCAGAGCGGCGTAATTAAGAACCTCTCGCAAGGTCATGCCGATCCTAGGAATAGTTGAGCAGTTCTTGCCTGATCGCAACGGAGGAATATTCCGACACTTCAGCGCGACTCTCCCGAACGACATCAATCGCTGCCCGTCGGGAAAATCAACACGAATCCTGCGTGAACATTCCGGAATGCCGAACATGTTTATGCATGCGTCTGTTCGCCGGAAACAGCAAGCTTTCGACTCGGTCGGTCGGCTAGACCGTAGCTCGGAGCTTCGTTTCCCGTCATTCAATATTTCGAGGAGGGCTGTGGAACCATTACACAAATACTAGCCAGCCACAAAAATGTCCAAGCTGGCGGAAAGTATTGTTTTTATAGGACGGAGGAAGAAGCGAAATATAGAGGAGAGAGTAGACCCGACAGCAGAAGCAAGAAGCCAGGATGGATATGCGAATGGGAAGGAAGACGCGGGTAGAGGACTCGGAGCGATAGGATCACAGGAAAATTGTGGGGGACGGCCAACACGAGGGATCCGATAGGAAGAAAATTGGGAGACGAGCGAATCATTTTGAGCCAATTCAGAGAGAAGGCTCCCGAGCAAAACAAGAGTCCCTAGGATACGGCGGCGGGCTCGGGGGAGGGGGGGAAAATGAATGGATTCCATGGAGGAAATTAAAGACTAAGAGAAAACGGAGCACACTCAAAGCGACGGAGAGACGTGTACCCATTCTGAATGCATGATAGGCTACGGTAGTCTATAATTCAAGATGAAGTCGAGCTCTCCTCGCGTATCCGGAATAAGGACTTTATTCGCTTTGGGATCGCATGAGGAAAGCAACGGAAGCCTCCACACGAGAGAAAGCTCCGGGAATCTAGTTTAGGTCATCGCATTACAGATTTGTGGAGGACGCTAAGCCTAGCGTCTTGAGGAAGAACGTGGGGACCATCCTGCACGAGTTCGAATTCCTGGGAGAAACCAAGTTTTGCTGCTTCTTCGTCCCTTGCTCCGTCCCAAAACCTCGACCGTCGACTCCCAGTGAATAGATTGATTCCGGAACAGCTGGAGTTAGACGGTCTCTACGTCGGGTCGAGCTGTCGAACAGGATTCGCGATCATTCGAAAGTCGGGCGTCGCCAGCTATGGGGGATTCGGAATCACAACGGATCGCTCATCCAGATGATGAGTTCTTACCTCAAAATGCTCCGGAACGGATCAGAGTCGGAATGAGATGAGAAAGGGTCTCGGCTAACGATTCTTAACCAAGATATGATACAAAGGGAATCGGCTCAGAAACGGAGGTTTTCGACTACACTCCGGAAAAATCCGCGAACTCCGTCCCGTCTACGGGATCGCGATTCCGATGGAAACCTCACGATACCGGGAATAACCGGCTTTGGCGAATCGACTACCGGTAGGATGCGGAGTCCGGATGAGGTCCTCCTGCTGGCATCGTTCGCCAAGATTAGGGACCAAGTCAGAACAAATAATTTACTTCCGCTCGGCGGAACTAAGGTTCCTATAGACTGAGTGAAGTTTTCCCCTCCTTCTCCCTCATTTGTTGAGGAGATGGATCAGCTCAAAGGATCGTTTTGCTCCGTCTGATTGTGGAAGGCGACGAAGGAAGGAAAAGAGACTGGAAACGATAGACGAGCTGACACTGTCAAAAATGCGGAAGTTCGTGCGCGACCGATCGTCGCAAGCAAACAATGAACGCTAGGAACGCTTTAAGTCGCGGCTAAACCCCGAAGCTAACGTGGGAAACGCTTACTGACGACCAAGTCACGAAAAGATTCATTAGAATCAGGGAAGACGGAAGACAGAGAAGAATCCGAGATTCTTTGCCGTCCTGGTGTAGAGTACTCCCGCGGAATTCATTAGTCGCTTGGCGGCTCGAATGTCCAAGTCTCTCAAGTAGCGATCCGAGCTCCCTTCTCCACGGCGCGGCGCGCCGACAGCGGTGATGCTAGGACAGGAGGCTCGCGTTTCGGTTGCCGATTTCTCATTGTCCTACTTGCCGCGAGCCAATTCTTTTTCCCTCGCCACGGAAACCATATTAGGTACATAGATCACGGAAATCTGATACGCCATGTAGCTGAGTGAGGGTATGCCTCTGAGCAACATCCGAGCAACTTCCTCTCTCGCAGAACTTGGCGAACGATTACCCGAAACGGAGGAGTTCTCTCGAGAAGAGTCTGCGTAATTCGAAGGAAATCAGATATCTTTCCCGAGAACGAGAAAGGAGTCCCGATGGTTTACGGTTACGCGCCACAGGGAAAATGTCTCAAAACGAAATCACATTGCTTCGGAGAATGGAGATGGGCCAATTTCCCCAGCCAGGGGAACGCTGAATTATAATTATAATTGATTGAACGCCCGGCGTCGCGAAAAAGCGCGGGGTGTAAACAAACGGCAAGGCCGGAACAAAGACGACCTCGTAAGGAATGGAAGCGGGGGAAAATGATGACGTCCTGCGAAACATTTGCTAATGAATTCATGCGACGATCCTCCGAATCTCCTCGTTCCCACCGGCTCAAACAGACAAATGGAACTTCCTCTCGCAAAACACTGACTCTAGGCGAGCGCTTCGGCGCTCATGGAGTAGAAATACCTCGTAAGACGCCCCGAGGAATGAGGATAACATCGGAGGAGAAATTATCCGGAAGAAATAGTTATACGGTGACCAGGGGCAGCTAAGCTTCGAACGGAGTGGCGCGAAGCAGCACCGCAGAGGACAATGGTGACTACACGGTAAGGCAGCAAGTCAGCCTCGAATATATCTCCGGGCCGATCCATGCCTATGCTCAATAATTATCGTGTCGATCAGACGAGGTATATGAAACCGAGATGGGTATAGAGGGTTGCTCACCGATATCCTGACACACTGGAAGATGTGCATTTCCGCGTCGGAGGTGGCGCCTTTTGGCTGATCATCTTTAACGATGAACACGAGGATGTTGTTGTAGAGTTCTCGCGGATCGTTCGATGTGAATGCGGTGGGTTCCGAGATGAGCGACATTGGAAAACGCTCCACGATTTCCTGTAATTTATTTGCACCGGGTGAAACTTCCTTTGCGTACACGGGTCTCTAACCCCCACCCCCACCACTCGGCGGTGGAGCGCGTAACACGACTGCTGAACTCAGAATGCTCACAAATAAATAATTGCCGACGAGCGGCGTCTTGAATCGACAATGCTCCAAGCGGGAGCACAGCTTTCGCGGGAAACAATACGGGAATGGCGTGCGAGACGCCGCGGAAGAAACCAAGAATTTTCTTAGAGGCGTTCATTCGGCGGTCACTTCGAAAACTCGCGCGGATCTGTATAAGCCTTCGAAAGCCGAACGGGCTTAGTCCTGGCAGCGATACAGGTCCCCGAGGGAAGTTGCCTTACTGTTAGAGCTGTTGTTCTTGATCTTGTTGCACAAAGCCTTCCGGGCGCTCGATCCCAAATCGGGCCCTGCCGATTGCAGCTGTTGCGAACAGAATCGTTTATATGTGAGGAGGCACATTTAATCCTACGTCGCCTTCGTCGAGCGATAATTTACTTCTTCAGCGAGAGGCGACCTCTTTCCATTCATCGAGATCGTCAGGAGCTCTACACCTCGAGAGCAACCGTCGGTGGAGGAGCGGTTGTGGAGCCACCAGAAGCCCAGGCAGGCACGCACGCACGCAAGCGAGCAAGCGGACAAAGCGGGCGTACGGATGCTGCTAAGATGGTCGGCTGGGTAACGAGCACATTTGTATGCTTGTGGACTCGTTGTTGATGATTATGATGCTAAGATGCCCTGGTAAAACAGGGCCATCAAGACCTGAAGGCCCCATAGAAAATGGTTTCGCTCTTCCTCCCGCTACTGCTACTGTGTGCTTCCGCTAGCATGGCAGACTCATGCGAGAGCTCGGCGCACGCTCGCAAACGCCAAGGACGTTACACTCAAAATGCATTTCCAGAGGAATTGCCTCGTGGGAATGAAGAAAGAAGAGGGCTCCCTCAATTAGATTTTCATAAGAAGTCTCGAAGACGGAATTTAAACGACGCGGGAGACCGACGCGTGAACATCGAGAATAATATCCGGGAGCCTCGATTAGGTTCCTGAGGTATGTATGTGTTGAAGAATTAATTTTGTTTGGATGCCCGAAACCCGAACCATGCTATCGATGAGCATGCATCTATTGATCCAATCAATGCACAGCTAAATTGATTAGCGGTCGTGGCATTCCCCTTACCCCGTTTTCCTCGTCGATGATTACCATCCAGCGCGGTTCCAGACGGATGCTCATTTTCTGAGTCCAGATACCCTTCGTCTTTTCCATCTGGAACAACTTCCGAAGGCCATCCTTAGGCGATTCGACTTCGTAAGCTGACCCGACCCTGAAGGAAAAGATTATTTTTAGCTCGAGCTGTACTCAGAAACATAGAAAACCTGGATAGAATCCCGCGGCACCGTAAATGATCCTGGAACAGCTAGAATCATCTCGAATTTACAGGGTCTCCGACAGCTTTCACTTTCGGACGGGCATGCCTGTTGCCCCTTATCGAGCCGAATACCCGTCACCTCGTCTCACTGGGACTTCGTTCTATCAAAACGAGAATAAGGACCGACCACTCTCATTCGCTTATTCAAGACTCTTCTTCAGGACTTCATGAAAATTTGAAACCTCCGATCCCCGATCAGAAACTTCCATTGGTTCGTCCTTGGTGGGTTCTATCCTTCCAGGACCCAGAGCACAGACATTTCCCGCTAATTACTATTCCGTTTTTTCCGCTCACGGGAAGTGAAACAAAGAGAATAATCAACCTACGACGTCTCATTATTGTATTGTTCCGTCCCGGTTGCTTCCTTTGGTTCGATTTGGCATGCTCGCGTTACTGCATTCCATGACTACATATGCGCTGAATTATTCCGCATCGATGCTACAGATGACTGATCAGATCATTTGAGCTGGAGCTATTCCGCCGGAAACTGAGCAGTGCTCATGACTCGTCAGATTACTTCCATGATTGGGAAAAAAGAAGCTGCGTGCCGGGACGCGACTGAGGGGAGTACGGGAAAATCTGGCGGCAATCGGGTCGCGCGACCGTTAGGTTCGGATCGTACCGTGTATCTGCATAACTAACTTTTCATTCCTTCAACGCAGAAGAGCATTCAATGGAAAGAGAGGGCACGACACGATGCCTTCATTGGACCCAGTGTTCAAGCCCCAGTCTCATCGCTAATGCCCTTATAAATCGTTTCGTGAGCGAGGAAGCAAGATGGGACCCGGTGCAGATTTTTCAGTCATATCGCAGTCTGAGGCGGACAATCGGAAATAAATTCTCTCAAGGAGTGTATCGAGATAGCCGGAGAGGGCGCGCCAGCCGGGAATGAACACCAGAGTCCAGGGAGGACTTGAGAACATGAATCAATGACCGGTCTGTATCTGTTGGTCGCAGCTCGCCAGTATATAGATATGGATGCGGAATAAGCTAGGGCGCAATTGGAACTAATTGAAATAATAGAGCTAATGTCTTCGGAATTCGCGACGTCGACTTTCTCAGCGCTGTTGGGGGCTATTGACGCGTCTTTCACTCCCGTATCTTTTCCCGACGGAAGAGATTGGGCTGCTCGTATAGCGCGATAGCTCGTGCTATCGGAGTCCATGAGCATCGAATTCTTTTTCGAGCGCTCATCGGGCCGTTCCTGAGTCGAGTTTTCCACCCGGGAGGACAGCTCCTCCTCCTCTCCCGTTCTCATCCATTGCCCCTGTATGAGAGCGAATTGAGTTAGCTCCCCCTCGAAGAGCAGAATCAGCTACAGAATTGAGACGCTATCCGGAAAGGTTTACCGGACCGTCATCTGTGACCAAAAACTCATTTTTCTCCCGACTCGCTCGAAGCAAAACCCAAGTGGATTTAAGCTCCGACAACGCTGATGCCGGAGACGATTGACGATCATTTGGCTCGTTGAACATACCCGTGGAGCCACGTCCGTCGACTTTCATTCAGTTTCTCGCCAGTGGTAGAAAACGTAGTAGTCGTGGTCGTCCTCCTTCACTTCTCGGGTTTGCGGTTAAGGCGGACGGGCAGACAAGCAAAATGTATTCTTCTGAACTGACCTCGTTTTCCCTCCGGTTCGGAGGGAAAAATAAAATCAACAAGCGTTGAACAAACACTCGATGGATTTCCGCAGTATCTTCGAACCCTCCACAAGCCACAGGCTGAAGCGGCTCCGAGGAAATACAATCTACTTGATTTTATATCGCTCCATCACCATTTCCTCAAGAAACTGTCCTCGCCGATAAGTCCGACTCGTCTGTGTCCTTCGTGATATCCTGTATCGCTCTACGGTCGAGGGAGCTGAGCGAGTACCTCGCGCATCGCTCGCACTCGAATCGTACTTCTCCGATGAGCATCGGGGGCCCGGGGTTTCGCAAGCTCTCGCATGCGATTGGGAAGCGGCTGAGAGCAGCGCCGACGTTTTGGGCAATGATTATGAAAAGCCTCAGTGAAGGAGATATGCTGAAGAGTTTTTTGTGTTCCCCACAATGGATCCATGACAATCGCGCGCGGTCTGACGGTCCGACGGATGGTACGCTAGTTGGTCGGTGGGTTGGATCGCAGGACCGCCTGAGTGAATTCGGTCGAGGCGCTAATTCATGCGAAATCTCACCCTATCTGGCTTAAGAGCAATATATATGGAGATGAGGATTCCCCGCTTCAATGCCAGCGTACTTCGACAACGCTGACGCTGGAGATCTTCGCCCGCTCAATGGCCGGGTCTGTCTAGGCGACGACGAAAGCCAAAGATGAGGGGAGGAGAAGAATACAATCCGGTCGAACTTGACGCTGTCTGCACGCTTGACACTCAGCTGATTTTTCACGGAAAGGCACCCAGACGTTTGGTACGTCTGGGTGGACAGATGTACATATGTAGTGATCATGACATCATTAGGGCATAAAGACACCTACAAATGACTGATACACGACCCCTCTCGCTCGGTGATTTTCTCCGCCTCCGAATCGGAGATCACGAATGAAATTTCGGGCCAAGGGGGAGCGGGCTCAATTAAACACCGGTCACAGTTTTTCGACGGCGCCGCTCTGACTCAATTCTTTTTCTTGTAGTCAAGTCGATCACGTGCACATCATCATCTGCGATACGGTAGGTACCAGACTCACGGGTCCGGTTGACCGAATGATTTTCTCCGCCACCGAATCGGAGATCACCAATGAAATTTCGGGCGAAGGAGCAATTCTGCTCCTCTTTCGTGATGAGGATTAGAATTCGGGGAGGGTCGATCCACACCGACTCCCTAATTACGCTGAGCAGTGAAGGCTCTCCCCGGCCGTCCCGACTCAGTGTATGTTTAGATTTTTATAAGAGAGTAGCTGTAATTATATAGTGTTGATAGGGGCGAGGGATGATGAGCGACGCGACGGTGATCGACGTCACACGTGGACGTCGATGGCTATATAAATATTGTATGAGCGAACACTGATTGATGACGACAACAGATTTCCTGTATATCGCGTTCTTCTCCTTTATCCACGGAGCGGAAGGTTCCGCCACCGTCACCGGTCGAACGAGAGCGCAGAGAGGACGGATGGAGGAAGGAAAGTCGGCGATGATCGTTCACCGCTGACACAAATTGACAAATGAAGCTACGAGACGAAACCTCGACTGCGAGGAATCACTACTCTTCCAGCGAGCGCTACGTCCGCATTATACGTGTACGTTCGGACCATCCGTCTGGATCCAGCAAGCCTTGTTCGTCGGTGACGGCAGGTAGGCACTCGAGGCGAGCACGAACGTGCATAAGTAATCCCAACGCGAAGAGCAACTCACGCAGAGAGGAACGCATTCTCGATGCCACGTTAATGGCCTGCTTTTCATGTCATCTGGACGGCGAACATCTACTCGCCATGTTCCCGCCAAAGACCTTTTGCCAGGCCAAGGTTCCGCCAGTGTTCGTCGTTTATAGCTGCTCCATGAGAGAACATTCTACTCTCGGGTCTTCGGGGGGGGGGGGAGAGGGGAGGGGGAAGAAAGTCATCGCAGGGGGGATGTCAGTCGCTCGCTCCGTTATCGAGATTCCTTCCGAAACAGAGCTTACAATTAGCTTCAGGATTCGAGAGTTATCCGATTGTCAGAAGACTCGGAGTCCCGGAACGGAGCGGATAATTCGGCTCAGCCGAGATATTCACAATAGTTCCCCGGACGATGGTATCATACAAGGGAAGTCTCTGGGATGCCCCGAAATTCGCTCGGCAGCCCAGCAGCTAATGGAATCGGTCGCCGTAATCCGGGGGGCTGATTGCAATCGCAACAGTTGCTCTCCGTGCACATCTAGGGCTTCAGCGCTGAGTGTTTACTACTCACCTGAAGGTTGCGAGATGTTCGACCAGATAGGAAGGGCCATGACCTTCGTCGTTAGAATCTGATTGTTGATCGGATGAGTAGCCGTTGGAGTATCGCGAACTCGAGTCCTTCGGGGGCGGCATCCTGGCTACGCTGTCGAAAGCCTCGTAGTCACTAGAAAAGAAATCACTCCCATTAGAAAAACATCTCCAATTCTTGATCAAACCGCCATAATTGTCGCCGTTGAAGAAGGTCAACTGATGGAACGCATGCGCCAACGAGCACAGGTTAACGTCGCTGCGGTGGCGGTCGGGCTCGTGGGGTCCCTCGATCTCCCTTCGGAGGAACGCCGCGCGATCGGTCTCAACGAGGAAATTCAAGAGACTCACAGCTACGTTTTAGCTCTAGAGCAATCATTAGACTCGCACGTCCGGGCTTGGAATTTCAAGTTCCAGAAAACGAGGGACCTGAATGACATCGGGTCAAAGGTTGGATTGCTCGCTCGCTCCCTTCCTCCCTCGCTGACTCAATGGATGGCTGGTCTACTAACGGTTTGTCCGTCCGTCCAGCCGGCCGGCCGGCCAGCCTGAGAGACCGACCGATGGACGGTCAGGCGGGCGGGCGGCTAGCTCTACCTGACACGCCATAAACTTCTGTGCAAACAGCATTCGACGAGGATTTCCGCCATCTCTCTGGTAGCCGTCAAGTCGTAAAAGTCTCTAAAGTCCACGACGGCTACGACAGTTCGCCCTACTGCGAGCTTGCCCGGTGGTGCTCTGGCTCGTCAGCAGGAAGCAGTGGGAAATCTCTCGCTTTTTCAACATCGTAAAGGACACTCTCGTTTTGAGATCACGGGCCTTCTCTTCCTTCGTCCCGACTTCTCCTTTTCGGAGCTATCATACGTGAGCTCAGCGAGAGAAGCTACTCTGGCTTTCTGAGAGGCCTCCTCCCGTTCCTCAGAAGGCCGAATCGCTTTGGAAATGAAAAACTTCCGTCCCTCGGAACTCCCCGAGACGGGTTCCCGCTCAGAGTCTGGCACCGAATATAGGAAAGACAACAATAGGAGGAAAAAAATATCAGTAATGCTATAAATAACAGCAAGGGATACTTGATGGTTGTTCGAATATCTCGACACAACCGTCGCTCCGGCTCTGTCAGTCAGTATCTCGAGCACGTAAACAGTTTTGGCAGACATACTGAAGACGTAAACAGCCCCTCCAAATGTTTCGGCGACAGCGTCAACACTGTTCTTTGTGCCTGTGGCGTCTGCAAGTCAATTGACGACGAGGAGCCATAGAAATCCCCAGATCCGACGCTGACGGTGCGGCCAGCGCCCCCAGACAAATCCAACCACTTCCCGAGTCGTAAACATGGCGAATAAGTTCTCGGGTTCGAAAAACGGTTGAAGATAGACACAATTTTTGGACCCTCGTGACTATAGGGGGAGAAGGCGACGCGTGGCCCGTCAATCGAGTGACACAGAATCGGGGAAAAGAATAATGCAGATCAATAGCTCGTTCATTATACGAGTGTGTGATGAAAAGCTGCCTTCATTCTGTTGTAAATAAGAAACGTCCGATAGTAACGGCTGCTAGGAGTTCGGCCGGCATCAGTTGCTCGATAAGGTCACGTGATGAAGATCCCGCGACATTGGACGGCGTTTCATCACGCCGCGATAATACGGCGAAGTCGATTACGGGGATCGAGCATTCGATGCGTCCAACAAGTAGTTCCCCAGTCAAGGAGTAGTTCCGGGGAAGATTCTGCCCCGTTCTCATGGAACATCGGGCATCCCGGAATCTACGGTCCCATGGAGAGATTTTTCAGCGCATGAAGGCAATCTCGATGAGTCGGGGACGCAAAACTTTTGATTGGGCTGAAAAATTTCGCGAGAAGAGAATCGTATCCCGGTAGGAGATCTTCCGCGCCTCGTGAGAAGTGCTCCATCAGCTGGGTTTGTTTTTCTCAAGAATTCGGATGACGGTTTTGGTATCGGGAATTGCTCCGCCTGACTTCTCGACAAGACATTCCTTCTCAACAAATAGTACGCAGCGCTACTGTCCATTGGGCTCCTCTCTACTTGCCATGGTTGTCTATGAATGCAAATCGATTTCCGATGACTCGTGACCCAACCGATCGTACAACCCTCTACCGTAGCGGGAATGGCCTACGAAATGAACGAAGGAAGGCAAATAGGGTGAATGATCACGAGTATTTCACACAAATCACCGAAAATCCCAAGCTGGCGAGGGTCACTTGTGTCGCAGCTCTCTCTGTCCACCCTCATCCTCCCGAATACATTCGCAGTGATAATAAACTCCCTTTTTGCGAACCCTACATTGTAATCTTGTTCCTCAAATCATTCCTCCCCGCTTGTGCCTGTCCAAAACAGACGGAAAGAGAGGAAGGGGCTTGGGGGCGGGTGCCTAACCGAACCGCAGTCACTCAAGCTGATCATTTTGAAGCGGATAGGTGGTAAACCGATCGAAAAAGCAGTGCGTTTGCCGAAAGAAGTTCCCCTGCTCGCAACAAGAGGCGCGTCGGAACTCGGAACCCATCGAATCGGAACTTTCTGTGCATGGAGTTCATGTAATCACCGCGCTGAATCGGAGTCCTACGATGTGCAAACAAGCAGAACCTTCCTCTGGAACTTCTGAAAGTCCAACACGAACCGTCTGTCCGCGTTGATTACACGAGGGGGCACGCGAAGAGGAATCGAAAATTATTTATAAAGCAAGCTACAATGATTCCAGCTGGCCGATCACACGCGAAAAAAAACATCGCCACTTGAGGCCGCATCGTTGGAGTTTCCAGCGCGATCGCCGGAGTCACTGTTGCCGGATTTCCCCCCTGAACGTCACGAGCCAGAGCGCATCTCGTTCAACGCACGGTAGCGTTTCGGTGGTGGGATCTACTTCGATTGGGGCACGTGGAACAGTTTCACGACATGGTTCGCGTACATTGTGAGTTGCTGTATTCGAGCGGCAGCCGAAGGAGCTTGGAAAGCGTTCCCTTTCGTTCGGAAACGGATTGAACCCCGCATTCCGAAAACAGACGCACGGAGGCTTTAACAGCGTGTAAATCGTTCACCCGAACGCCAATCAATCGCTTGTCAGATAGAAACATAAAGTCGGAATTCGAAAGAGCTCGTCTTATGCTTCGCCTCACGGTTTTACTGCTCTTATCATCGGGCTCTAACCGCTTTCGTAATTGGTCCGCGAGTTGGATGAAGCAAATGAGTCTTCCAGAGAGAGACCAACCGTAAGCGGGGGGAAGAGTCGTCGCTCCATCGGAGAACTTCCTCGAAGGCTATCGGGAAACGTTGTTCGAAATTTTTCTTGAGCCTCCGTATCTGTTCAATGTTCAGTCTCTCGCGGTTTCGGAGCGTATTATTCAGATGGAGTGGAGAATTATGACCATTTCGCGAATAAAGAGAGGGAACAGACTCTAAGGGTTCTGGTCAGGGAAGACAAGTCATCCCCTGCGTACAGTCATTCCCAAGAGCCTTGAGGTTCTACTACTCCTAGGTGTTGAAGAAGCCCTATTCGTCGGTGGTCAGAACGAATGGATCGAAATCAATCAATCTGATAGCCCGGTCGATTCGGCAATAGGGAAAAGGATTCGGTCAATAATTTTTGACAAGTACGCGATCGCAGGTGAAGGCTGATCGATTATGAAATTCCCCTCAATGATCGAGGGTAACTCGCATAAAAAATGTCCTAAGCCGAAGATCACAGCGGTCCCGACACGAATCCCGAGAATGCTCGCATATAGGTATTCGAAGAGTCGACAAAATCCAAGCAGGAAAACAGAAATCGTCTTCAGAGGGACACATTGCGAGTCGGATAGGAGGAAAGCGCGATTATGTGGTAATCGTGCTCCGACGATCAGTTCACAAGCCATGTGATGCCTCGCCTCACTTTTCAAAAGCATAAGTGACTTCAGGGAATATACTGAAGACTTCGAATACCGATGACTCTCCCATGGGAACCGAACGTTCTTGAATACCACGAACCGAATGCATTGATGGAAGCACGGTCCTGACGCGCCGCTGTGAAGCCAGGGATAATTCGAAAGATCATGTTCTTATTTTCGCTTCGGAAGCGTTCATTTTTCGGCTTTTCCATTTTGTTGCTTCTCTCTCTGCGAAAGTAAGCCGGCAGTAGCTGTTCCCAGCACGGAACACGAAACACCACCAAATGAGGGCGGAGCTGCGGAATCTTTTTTTTGACGAATTCGAGGATATTAGGGCCGCGGGCGACCGCGATGTTTATAACTTCAGCTCCGCGGGGCCAAGGGGGGAACTTGCTGTAGACGAGCCGACTAATCGACAGACTAACTCAGCTGCCCGGACAGAAACCTGAGGGCTTGCAATGATTGGCCTGGTGCACGGAGCGCATCATCCTTCACATTTTAGAGACCCGCATAGTGTGCGCCAATCGGCCAACATACAGAAATCGCTGTCACGCACGGAAGTCTGACAAAATTTATGTCATCGCGACCTGAGAAAAATCACGGGGATAAAAAAAGAGGATCCAGAGCGAAGCAATGCCCTCATGGTTCGCTTTTTTGCGCTATGTCTGGAAATAATCCTTCCGCAGCTCGTCCTCTCATCCGGACCTGGAAAACCTAGTCAAGGATCTCGAAGGAAAACATCGTGACCTCTGTATTCAATCGCCTGAGCGAGCAATTGCCGTGTTTGGAGGAAAATCGCTACCCGGATCAAAGGATGCCGATAGACACCTCTCTGGGCCTCGTTTCCCGGGAAGGTAGTAATAGTTGGTGCGAACAAAAATCTGTGCCGAATGGAACAATGTCAACGATGACAGTAGCAGCACACAATCGACAATATAGCATCGGAAACACTGTTTGAAGTGAATGTTTCCGAAGCCCTTCCGCAACAGCGGCTCCGCGCAACAACGTCAACAACAGGCGATGATGACGGCAGCAGCAGCGGCGACGCTAGTTTTCACACCCGAAGGCTCCAATCATCACATCCGCAGAAGAGTTCAAAATGTCATCCGTCAATTCAAAATTCAACTTCTCGGGCTTGTGTTCGATTTCGATCGACCGGATTGAAGGATCAAAAAACCTCGACCACTTCAATCGGCGCCTCTACGTTTCCTCAAAGCTCCATTTCAGATAACGTTCTGGCATCCAATTTCTTCCTGTGAATTTCTCGGTTGCCATGATTCCTGATTCCTATTTCCTGGCAATCCCGAAGCGATTCCAGTTCCACTTCCGTCCACGATAAACAATCTGCAAACTTCGCTCAATAATATTATTCGGTCCATTCTGATCCGACGACATCGCTTTTTCCTCCACCTGAAGTCCGACAAGTCATCCAACGATCCGAAGTTGTGATAGGACCGGATATGTTCAAAGATCTCGAAACGAACAGCATTCCCTGATTCATCTCCTGACTTCCGATACTGTGAGCTCCAAGGGCTTGCCTGATGAAGACCGAGCGCGTAGGTCGCGCATTGAACGAGTTCGATAGGGTTCCTGCATCGGTCATCGGAGAGCGGGTCTCAGATTGAGGAAACGGTCCGCGAGATAGCGATTCGCGACTTGGTTCAATCGAGAATTTTATCGCTAGTTTCGACGGGCTTCTCATTCTTTAACTCGAGCACCACGCATAAGCGACGGAAGAAAAATTTGCCCTGACGATTTCCGTGATATCCTAGC